AGCTGTCATCCGTACGCAAGGAAGTAAGCACAAGATGCCGAACACCCTTAGCAGGATGCAGCACACCCTTCATGCGACTCGCCGAGTATTTTACGGCGCTTCGCGCTTGGTGATGCGAGAGCCTGGTCCGGTGAGAACCCGGCGTGCTCCGTCCCGGCGTTGTAGGGATGCGAGGTCAATGGTCTAACGACTACGGCATGCACGACTATGAGTACACCCCCCCCCATATCTCGGACTTTGTACCGCGCCGGGGGATCTTGGTCTTTGCGAAGAAAATAAAAAAGACAGTACATTACACTCCCTCCGATGTACCAATCTTCTAGAGCGTCCTCCCTCGGAGGGTGACCCCACTCCCCCCCAATGTAGAGCAGAAGTATCTTGGCTTCACACAGCACTGCCTGTATGAGAAAAGCAAATTATATCATGCATCGCAAGGCTCCATCGACCGATGGAGCTGTTGCGAGTAGACATTATGCATCGCGGATTCACCACTCTGTTGGTTAGTGGACTAGATCCTGTATTTTATACCGCCCGCGGTAACTTTTCCCCCCTCCGGTATTTCAATCTCGCTCCGGTGTAGCAGAGGTAGATAAAGAAAGGCGTTGTCCACTCCGATATCTAAAAACATTCGGGATGCTCCCTCGGTGCGAAAACTCCGACGCTTACTGTGTCGCCGCTGGACGTCATCTTCGATGGTGATGTATTCCGCCCATCATGTTGCCCACGTCGTGTTGTCTGATTTGTTCTGGCAGGCGCTCAGCAAAGTGGCTTGTGTCCAGGCTTGCCTTGGCATCTCCCAACAGCGAGTTGCGGACGACAAAGCGTTGCCGGAGGGATCTGCGGGTGTTTTTCCCAGCGTAGTACGCGCGGCAGAGCGTACTCTCGGTGGCGATGACGGGTTAGCGCCGCCGGAGCGCTGGGAACACGCTCGCGTCAGGGGTGTGACGACGGGGAGGGCCTGCGTTTCTGGAGTCCTCGGCCTCGTCGAGGGGAGCGACGTGTTGTGGTCGAAGGACTGTTGTGGTATGGCGAGTGTAAACCGAGGCGCAGGTGGGAGCATGGTTCCGAGATGTTCGAGATGCCAAAAGTTCTGGCGTGACAATGTGAAGGGACGTATGGAGTCCTTCCACGGGGACGCGGCGAAGAACACCGCGATCGACCACCTCAGCACCGCTCAGAAGGTGCGTCGCTCTTGAGAAGATTATTGTGGGCATGTAGCGAGCGGTACGTGTGTGTGCCTGGGGGGTGGGGTGGGGGGGGG